GACAAAGCAAACTTGAATGGTTATTTCTGGCTCATTAGCCGTCATCAGCCAGACATACCCAACCCCAAGTGGTGTCCCACCCCAGGCTCGAAACCGCGACCTTTGGACCAGAAGTATAACGCTCTAACCATTGAGCCACAAGCTCGTTGTTTTGCTGGTTTAGACTATTGATCGGGACAAACATGCTTGCAGCTCTCAGGAGAATAGCAGGGGTCGTGGAGATAATATCAGTAATTAAAGTAGCCGTCATAGTACGAATAGCGATATCAACTGCAGTATTTATTATAAAACTATGATAATTTTCATAAATCTTTAGACTCTAGTAGTAAGAGCGAGGGACAATAAAACCTACCTGAAACCTGCTCGTGGTATTAATAATAAAAACATTCGTGGAGATTACCCAACCTGGAACACTTGTCTATTTACATATCTGCACTAGAACTTGCGATAAAAAGGGCTTACTGTCCAGCAATGGTTTGTCTCTCCCCCCCCCCAAAAAAAAAGATAATGACACCACTTACTTTCCTTGGCTGTCCTGTTTGGGGTAAGCTGAACTTGTCCGTCTTCAGAAAACGTGAGGTAAGCCCTGGTGAAATCGGTCCTTTCAGTATACAGACGCAGAACCGTGCCATTAGTCGAGCTGATGATGCGAAGAGTGCTGCGGCCAACTCGTCCGCCTCTGTCACCTTGGGCCCCCGGTGGATCCAAGGACAGCTCAAGTGTCGGGTGCCTGATTGCCAGTATCGGCAGCGAGACGTTTCGCAGGCTGGTGTTTTGGGAGCCACCCAGCACTAGGGGACTGGCGTGGGCATAGAGGACCGTGAATTGGAGTCCAAACACTAACAGAAAGAAAACAGTCCAAAACCGCTGCGGTGCCTGCAAACAGAATTGGTCTTTCGGTGCGTTGTGATTGGACCGGGGAGTGTTGATGCAACAAGAGGAAGGGAAGGACGAGGATCCAACGAGGTCTCGAACAGGGATAGGGAGGAGACGAGATTCACCGCAAGTAAACCTGCGAATGGTCGGGGAGAGAATGAGAATGAGGAGGAGGGATCTATCTGGTGTCAATTTAACACCAGAATGTGGCGTGTAAGAACGCCTGCGCGCTTGCAGAATTAGGTTTCCCAGAATGGTGAGCATAAGCCAACTTAAAAATATGGTTCCATCTACCAGTAGGGGGTGTTTAGCACGGGAGACGGTCACCTGTTTCACAGCTACTGACA